TTGTCTGTAATAGCTCGTGAATTTCCTTTCCTTGTTGTCTTTGGGAAAGTCATATGTTTGAAGTTGTACTGGAAATATTTCAACCAACTGTCAAACTTTTGAGTCAGTTTGTAGCCATTAATTTTGGACCACCCGAGTCACATTTTCGTTGACCACTTTTCTTCTCTAGAATTGTCTTGGTAACCTTTGGTTTATTATTTTGCTGATACACCCTAATAGAAATTTGTTTTTGTTAGATTTCACACAAGATTTTCACAAAGAAGGACTACCTGTGCCAGCCATCCCTAATTTTGAAGCAGTAAACGGAACGCAACTAGTCGACCTCACACACTGCCGACTCTTGTCATATAATGCCGTATAATGGGATTTGTTAACATAATGCTAATACTCAGAGACTGATCAATAAAAAAAACAAAAAACTTTGGTTTAATTCTACTGATCAACACTTTCCTTTGTACGCAGTTCCTGTTCACCTCTACTTACTGTTTCTTTATATTCATTTAGTTTTATATCAGGTTATGTTGGACACACCACTAGGTGGTTTGTTTGTTTATTTTAATTATGCACAAAGCTACACAAGGGCTATCTGTGCTCTGCCCACCACGGGTATCGAAACCCGGTTTTTAGCGTTGTAAGTCCGCAGACATACCGCTGTGCCACTGGGGGGCCCACTAGGTGGTAAACAGTTCGCAGACAAGAACATGTGGTGAATAAACGTAATGAACTTGTATGTAAAGGACAACTTAAACCTCTCGCAAAGTCGAACAGAGAATAGGAACTACATATACGGGAAAGTCTATTAATCAATAAACTTGAACCAAGAGTGAATGAGCAAAATGGTGTGATTCACATATAACGAGATTTGATGCTACCATGGTCCCAAATTAAAGAGTGATAATTATTTTGGGCGGTAACTGGACGCCCACTAGAGAACTTCGGTTACACAGCCCGACATGCCAACCAGTGGGCTTTGCTAAGCCCAAAACATGCCTTTTTCACTATTTAAGCAGCAGTTTCTAGACTCATTCTGATGGTATTCAAATTCGATGACGAGGAACCCACTTTGAGACTAATAATGGTTGGAAACGGCTTGAATGACAAAATGACCTGATGATGACAAAACCTTGTACATTTGCAATTATGTTAAACTTATATTAAAGTTTTTCTTCATTACCCATTCAAGCAGTCTCCAACCATTATCATTCTGATGGTAGTTTTGTCCCTTCATTTTATTACGTCGCATTGCAAAAAAAAACATAAGAATCCTATGGGCCGAGCAAGGCCTAACTGTCAGCATTTTGGACTGTGTATCTGAGGAGCTAAGGTTTGAGTCTCACCAACTCAAAATTGCACTCTGCAGTTTGGAGCCTTTGAATCACTATAAGAATGGCTGTAAAATATCACTATTCGATTAGAGTAGCCCACGAGTGGCAGTGGGTGCTGGCGACTGTCTGTCTTTCCTCTAATCTGTCAGTCAAATTAGACAGCTAGTGCAGATAACCCTTGTGTAGCTTTATAATGATTTCCAAATAAACCAAACCTACTTGTTTTTCTGCTTTTCTTTTAAGATATTAAGCATAAGAAAGATGATGCCTTCACCAGTTGTTATTTTAGATTCACTGTTGAACCACTTTTGAGTTAACACAGTTTCAACTGTCACTTTTTTAACTCTATGTTTTAAAACTTCAATATTTTCATAAAGTGAGTTATTAATTTATATGCCTATGAATTATTATATTAAAGTACATTACTAACTGTGGCTAAAAGATATTCTGGTAAAGCAAGTTATCTATTCGTTAGATTTTGCACAAATCTACTCGAGGGCCAACTTGCACTAGCTGTCCGTAGTTGTTCTGAAGTGACAGACTAGAAGGAAGGCAGCCATTGTCAACCCTTGAGCTACTCTGTCAGACTAAAAATGATGCATACATAGCCCCAAAGTGCAAAGCATAATTGTTTTTGGCAGTAACAGGACACGAACCACAGAACCTCAACTCCACAGTCAAGCACATAAACCACCGGCCCATGCTTTGCTCACAACTTATTAATTTGTGTCAATGAACACTTCTGGTTAAATAGGTTATTAATTTATGCAATCTATAGAATATTCTGGAAAAGCAAGTTATTAATCAATATGCAATAAAATATTATTCTGGTAAAGTGTGCTAATAACATATGCCCCCATAAAGTATTATAACAAAGTGGCTACTTAATACATATGTAATAAAATATTATTCTGGTAAAGTGTGTTAATAACATATGCACCCATAAAGTATTATAACAAAGCGGCTACTTAATACATATGTAATAAAATATTATTCTGGTAAAGTGTGCTAATAACATATGCACCCATAAAGTATTATAACAAAGTGGCTACTTAATACATATGTAATGAAATATTATTCTGGTAAAGTGTGTTAATAACTTATGCACCCATAAAGTATTATAACAAAGTGGCTACTTAATACATATGTAATAAAATATTATTCTGGTAAAGTGTGTTAATAACTTATGTGTATAAAATAATCTGGTAAAATAGGTTATTACTTTGCATGTCAGTAAAATATTGTTCTTGTGAAGTGTGTAATTTACTTATCTATAAAATATTATAAAGGGTTATTAATTTATGTATACACAAAAAAAGAATAAGTAAATTCCCCCCCTCAAAAAAAATAATTAAAACTTTAAATAAAATATTCACTTTGTACATAAACTGAATTGTCACCCACAATATCTTTTCTTTCCTATCTCAATCTGCCAATATTCTATATATATATATACTGTTATCAAATACATGATGTAAAAGCTGACACAAAAATACCCCTTACTTCAAAGTAGGGATGATACTTTGTTAGTTCTAGACACAAACTAAGTAGTAAATAAAAATATATCTTAAAAATCATTAAAAATATTTAATTTTATTTTAAACTTCTGCACAGCAATTAAGCAGATTTACAATAAATACACTAATTTACAAAAAAAAAAAAAATCCATTCAGCAACAGAATCACATAGCAATATAAACCTCGATATAAATGAACTACAAATGCAGCTATACTGACAAAAAAATAATAATGTCAAATAATGAAAAATTTGGTCAATATTTTAGTGTGGATTTCTCGTGCCTTTTTTAGGTTCTGATGAAATTTATTTACAAAAGTATTGACCAGTTTTCTCTTCTAAACAACTATATTTAAAACAAAATTATCACTTCAGAAAAAAAAAAATGCCCAGTAAAACTTCAAAAAGCTGGATGTTTATCAATATCCTAAAATATTAATTCTTAATACACTGTTCGTTAACATCATTAAAACATTTATCACAAACACTACATCTTCACAATAAAAAAAAGAAAACTTTCTGGGTATTATATATTTTACAATAAAAATATTTCACACATTACATATTTAATAAAAATTCTGTATGATGGTGACTTAATTAAACCCAATATTGTTTTCATGCCTCAGAGTTTGTAGAAGAGATCGAAGGTAAACTATAGGGTTGATTTTCAGTACGATGCTCGAGTACTAAATGGGTGAATCCGGCTGCATTTAAACGGGCCCATTCTCCCTACTCTAGCCTGTCACATTCCTGAATGTCCAGATAACATCTGTTTACGCATGCGCACCAGATGTCTGCTCAAGATCATTGCTAATTCTTGCAACTAATCCACCCGCAGACTGTTCAGTTATATTATAGATCTTGCAGACCTAAAAAAAGGACTTTATTATACTTAATATTTTTTTCTTTTCCAGGGTTTCTGAAAATGGGGATTGCCTTATATCTGAGATTACCCGATAATTGGGCCAATAAGGTAATATTACTGTGAATAAACGGTTGAAAAAAAAATCAACAAGAAATAGTCGATTTTACGATCTATTGATTTATCAAACTTTGCGTGTTCATTCTTAGTAAACACGGGTAAAGTCATTGCCATGATTCTGGAAAAAGATTTAAAATATAACTAAATTTTATAAAATTTATCAAACTTTGCGTGTTCATTCTTAATAAACACGGGTAAAGTCATTGCCATGATTCTGGAAAAAGATTTAAAATATAACTAAATTTTATAACTTTTGATTAATAAATAACTTGATATGATTACTTTTAGTTTTCTAAAATAATAATCCCCCCTCCCCATCTAAACATGTATATCAAAATAATTAACATGCTGTACAACCTCCGGTTATCATGACGATTGTTCAAAAGACAAATCTTTGTCTAATACAGCCAAAAGCTATCAGTATAATTTCTTGCTTATGTTTCTCCTTTAGTACACTATGTACCAAAAAGTGTTTTATGTCCTACATCATATTCCAATGTCTTAGGATATTTTATACATTTCGTGTTTAAAAAGTGAGACATTATGTTTGCCTTTCTTTGTAATGATACATTTATCTTCACAGATTCCAGAATTTTTAAGAGTTCTTTATAGATTCACTCATTACAAGGTTTTAATACTATAAATCCTGATGGAAAGTACATATTCAAAGAAAAAAAAAATGGAATTTCTCTTATTAAATAACTACCTGAATAAACAGCCAAAGTTATTTCAGTACAATTTTTGGAAATATTACAAATATGCCTTTCCCTATATTAGGCAAAGTTAATTATTTAAAATACAAATAAACCGTTATTTATCTTCAAATAATCAATAACAACTCCTAATTCAGAGCTGAATCTAGCCCCAAACTGATACACACACACACACACACACACTCTCGCCAAGATCACAAAATAAGTCTTTCCATCGACAAGCTATGAAAGTGAAGTTAATTGAAACTAACCCATTAAAATGCCCAATTAGCAAAAACTTTAACCGTAAGTTAAATGTTATTTTCCGTGACATATCAATAATACAAGATCACAAAATAAGTCTTTCCATCAACAAGCTATGAAAGTAAAGTTAATTGAAACTAACCCATTAAAATGCCCAATTAGCAAAAACTTTAATCGTAACTAAATGTTATTTTCCGTGACATATCAATAATACAAGATCACACACAATTTCACTAATAAAAAGTTACAAAACTTAATGATCTGATTACATTTTTTCATGAGTGATGAGAGTTTATAATATAAACATGCTGATTAGAATGAAATAAAAAGAATTTAATTTTTTATTCCTCACTTTCATAAGAAAAATATATCAAATGGTACTTCACAAGTAGCACTGTTTGTGCATTTAGTAATGACTAAATAGAATCGGTGCCAGCATTCATTCGTAAAACCCTATTCTATGATTGACTTTAGCTTAGTACAAAATAAAACCACAGAATAATGTGTAAATATCCAATTCTAAGGTGTCCTCCTTTTTTCTTTAATTAAACTATTTTTATCGTGAAGAACTTAACACGCATACATTATAAGGACAAAGATCAAACAGGATTACAGGGTTAGGTACACGAATACTAAAGTTTTTCTTGTCTTAAAACATGCAGTAATGTTTGTTAAGTCTCTGTTACGTTGAAATCATTGAATTACTTAAACTATTCTTAAATAATATTACAATAAGCAAACACTATTCAACGAGCTACATGTTATTATGTAGCGTATATTAAGTGTGCAGTTTTTATAAAATTCTGTAACACAGGTCTTAACCACCTACAACGATAAGATTAACTCCCTTGAAAGCAACATAGAAACAGTCATTCAAGAACTAACAATATTATAATCCATGCCTTACATTTCATTTATTTACATACTTCACCATTCAGTGTCGGGCTAATTAATAACAGCCCCTGTATCCTAGTAAGAACTCTTTTCATTGGCACTGGAAAGTGTCGAAACAAGCAAAAAAAAAAAAGGTTTCCATATTTTAGAAACAAAATTTCTCAGATATACTCAATTAAGTAATAAAAATGACATTAATTCTGGGTTTACAATTTCAGTTTTACCCTGGGACACTTCTACGGGGTTTTAACTACAGTTAATGTTCTCAGTTGTTCATTAGGTCCAATCTCTTGCTGAGTAGATGATGACAGCTCATTATCGCCCTTTATAACCTGCTTGTTATGAGAAAGTGACGAAGGACTACAATCACTAGTCACGGTAGGGCTCTGCAAAGGACTAAAGAGCGAACAGTTGCCAACTGTGAGTTCAATGTCCGAGGTTGTTGAGCGACTTGGCGACCCCACCTCATTGCACCCTTGACAAGCAACTGGCTGCTGATGAATTGGAACATGGACTACTTCCAAATCTTCCCCATGTTGCAAGCTACTCAAGTCCATCTCATCCATGTTGAGTACATTATCATGGCTTCCTTTAAACTGTTTCAAAATGTTATATTTGTTTACTCAGGAACATCTTAGTGAAGCCAACAAAAACAGCAGTTAACAATAACACACAAAACAAAAATAAAATGTTATACCATTAATATTTGGACTAAAATTATCATCATTAACTTTTTATACATATATTATATAGTTGTTTTCTTTTTGTAGTTAAGCACAGAGCTACACAATGAGCTATCAGTGCTGTGCTCACCACGGGTATCAAAACCCAGTTTTTAGTGTTATAAGCCTTCATATACTTATGATTGTGCCATTAGAGGCATATTGTACAGCTAAATAAGAACTAAACACATATGAACAGCAACAGATTTCCAAAGCGCATATTATTAAAGCTCTTCAAACTAATAAACATTCTCAAAACGAAAACATTAAAATTAAGAACAGAAAAGAACAATAAAAATCATATGACATTGATTTGAGTAATAACGGATTGTTTCACTAGTGAATATTGACTTCAATGTGATACAAATACTCCTTTTAACTGAAAACCAAATTCAAAAAAACATTTACCGTGAAGAAGAAAAAACAATTAGTACTTACGACACCATTGTTTAGATTCACTTGCTCACTTTTTTCTCCAAAACTTTTTTTTATTATATCACTTATAAATTTCAGTGTGAATATGAAAGAAAGGTGAAACAATTGTTTATAAATCTAACTGTATAATATTTCTAACATAGTACAATGTTATTGTGGTATTTGTTATAATCTACTAACCATAAGTCCATAGTGCTCAAGGATATCCATCTTACACATGGGACAAGATCTTTGATCTATGAGCCAAGGGTCCACACACGATTTGTGAAATGTATGCCTATGTATTATAAAAAAAAAAAGGGGGAGAGAAAAAGATTAAAAATCACAAACTCTTTTTTTTTTTAAATAAAAATGTTGTGAGAAACATTTGTTTCTAGCTAATCTGATTCACTCCTATTTGCTTACGTAAGATTAGGATAAACTGTAAACTATAGAAATTTTTTACATGTATAACAATGCAAGTTACAATATTTAACAAATGGGGAAATCAATGAAAACACAATCCTAGCAGACTTACGTTATTTCAGCCAGATTCTACTTTATAGTTCCTGAAGTTAAAAAAAAGAAAAAGAAGAAAGGAGCACCTTTTGAATTAAGCACTCAAGCTTGACTCAAGCTTTAGGGGTCAGGAACAACTTTCAGTCTTGTAGAAGACAGAGCTATTATTTAAAAGCACTCAAGCTTTAGGGGTCAAAAAGCAGTTTTTTTTTAATTAGATGATGAAAATGGACATCCAATGAAAACACCTGAGCATTTTTGGTTTGGTTTGGTTTATGAATTTTGCGCAAATCTACACGAGGGCTATCTGCGCTAGCCATCCCTAATTTAGCAGTGTAAGACCAGAGGGAAGGCAGCTAACCATCACTGCCAACTCTTGGGCTACTCTTTTACTAACGAATTGTGGGATTGACCATCACACTATAAAACCCCCATGGATGAAAGGGCAAGCATGTTTGGTGTGACGGGGATTCGAACCCGCGATCCTCAGATTGAGCACCCTAACCACCTGGCCATGCCAGGCCCAGCATTTTGGGTCAGGAGCATCTTTTGTTTCTAATGAAGAAAGTGACATTAACTTGCAGTAATCGAACTTATCGAATCCTGAGAATGTTTTTTTTATTCTTAACAAAAAAAAAAGAGTGATCCACTAAAGTCACTCAATATTTTTTACTGCGTCACTTTTTTGATTGGTTGAAAGAAATATTGTTTATAATAAGAAAAACAAAAAAATGTGTCTCAAATACACTAATAGTACTTTCTCTGCCTGTTAATTGTTGGTAGTTAATTAACAAAAAGAAATTAGATTTAATAAAGTTAAACATTTAGGCTTATGAATTTCTAATCTAAAATAGAAATCAATGTTGTTTTATTTCTTTATTCACAAGTTTGGTTTCATGGGTTAATTTTTTTCTTTAGTGCTTACTTGCAGGGTAGGGTTCTGGCAACTTCTCCAACTTTGAACATCTCAATACAAACAGCACAGCATTCCAACTCCCCACCCGCCTCCTGGGAAAGACATTTAAATAGGCTTAGTAATTATTATCAGTACCACAACGAGTCCATTATTTAAACAATTTCCCATTGTTACAGAGAAAACAGTCTAAAGAAAAGTAATAGATATAATAGTAACTTAACCCTGTGTTAGTCATCCGGGGTCTTCATGGACCCCAAATATTTTGTTAACATTGACGCCAACAGATGGAAGCACATACAAGTTTGTTGTTTTCAGTATTCAGCTAGTTTGTGTTAAATTGTTACACTTAGTTTAGGTGGTAAAAAAGAAACAAATTGTAATATTCAATGTTCATTTATTGATTAATAAAGGAAAAGATTTTAAATGTTAGTGTTTTTGTTTCCAAAATAATAGTTTATTAATTATTTAAGTATTTTTCAATTAATTTTTTTTTATGATGGGGTCTGCTCATACCCCAGTAGTGTGACTTTGGAAAATTTTTTACAGAAGACTAACGCAGGGTTAGGAATGTAATAAATATAATAGTAACTTACGAAAGCAACTATAATACTAACTTAAGTCAAAAAACTTGTATAATACAAAATGTATGTACACGTTCTAACATGTGGTAACCCAAGAGCAGAGTTTTCCAAAAGTAAGACACATTGTCTTTGGTACATTTGAAACTAAGTTTCATCTCTTTAAAAATTTTTAGATTGTTTACCCAAAAATTCAATCAAAGAAATTTTGTTATAAAGCAGACAACCAACTAGGATAACTTGGACATCTTTGTCTTGATAACTGATCTGTTTAATAATTGTTAGCGATTACGGTTTCCTAAAGCCATTTGACTTTAGCTAAACATGTTTATCAAGAAATAAATATGATCATGTATATCACAAAGGAAAGAAGAATTTTTCACTTTAAACTCACCAGATCTCCTGCTTTCAAAGTTTTCACGGGTATTTTGTCCAAAGCTTTCTTTGCTGCGTTACAGAGACGTTTCTGCAAAACAATGAAAAGATTCCTGCACTGTTTCTATAGACTATTGGAATATGTTAAACTAATAGGTTTATTAACAAAGATTCAAAACATAAACACAAAATTGAACAATTTCAAGTCAACATATAAAAAAATTAGTAACCAAGAATTATGAAGCATACATTTTAAATAGTCTAATAAGACCAAAATAAGGAAGTTTCTGTAAAGTATGCATTATATATTGTCCAATAAGATCAGAGTAAGGTAGTTTCTGTGAAGTATGCATTATATATTGTCCAATAAGATCAAAGTAAGGAAGTTGCTGTGAAGTATGCATTATATATTGTCCAATAAGATAAAAGTAAGGTAGTTTCTGTTAAGTATGCATCATATATTGTCCAATAAGATCAAAGTAAGGAAGTTGCTGTGAAGTATGCATTATATATGGTCCAATAAGATCAAAGTAAGGTAGTTTCTGTTAAGTATGCATCATATATTGTCCAATGAGATCAAAGTAAGGTAGTTTCTGTTAAGCATGCATCATATATTGTCCAATGAGATCAAAGTAAGGTAGTTTCTGTTAAGCATGCATTATATATGGTCCAATAAGATCAAAGTAAGGAAGTTGGTGTGAGTATGCATCATATATTGTCCAATAAGATCAAAGTAAGGTAGTTTCTGTTAAACATGCATTATAAAATGTTTCAATTATAAATGTACTAAGAAAGTTGCTTATTTTAATCTTATTGGACAATATATAATACATACTTCACAGCAACTTCCTTACTTTGATCTTATTGGACCATATATAATGCATGCTTAACAGAAACTACCTTACTTTGATCTCATTGGACCATAGTACGTTTTAACTATACAGGACCTGTACTATCTATGTATCCTTGAAATATATTCTTCAAAACAACATGCCAACAAAACTCTTGTATCATATTTGAGATTCTGACCCAATTTCTTCCACGATCACGTCTGCCAAGTGATTTTGTGTGATTTTGCAATATACACGCAATTTAAAAACCTGTGAAATCATTCACATCAAAATTGTAAGACAAAAAACATACTTGTACAGTAGAAGTGTCTCAAATATACAAAATTACTTACTTTAGAATGAGTTAAAGTGATCTATATTTCAAAAAATTACAAATAAACACCAAAAATTATAAATGTTCCATTTTTCACAGGAACCTTTCAGCTCGTAAAGCTGATACTCGTGTAAATATTGGTATTTCAGCTTACTTTTTCAATGGAAAATATTTTCACCTGTACGACATCCGAGCGTGTGTGTGTGTAATCTTATTTTATATATATACTTTTTGGTATACACTTTTCTCACCCCCAGCCATTACAGAAAGCTGATGAGTGAGAATAAATGAATGGGTTTGAAACTATACCAAACACATCACAACAACAATAGCAGAGAAGGATAATATGACACTCACAGCTAAAATTTCTTTGGCATGCATGTAACGAAATCGCTGGACATAGTAGAACACCAGCCAAGCCAATGATATGATCATCAGGATGATAAACGATATTGAGACGAAAAGCACAGACGTGCGGTTGATGTTAGCATAATGGTACGTATAAGGAGTTCCCACCGTTATGTGCATCTCAACGCGTGTACCATTGTCGGCTATGCGAGCAATTTTCTCTCCGTCTTCTTTATTAATCAAAACCGATACCATGTCAAACACTGTAAATTCAGAAAACACATACATTTCAAGATGATAACACACAAAATTGCTTTCTCTTAGGCATCTATAACATGAATAAACTGTATTGAAACAATTTTTTTTTAATTTTGTGTACATAAGCAGACTAACTTATTATCTAGATAAATATTCAAATATTTCAATAAAAATTCATAATAAATATGCATTTTATGAAATAAATGTACCCATTATTAATAATTTGGAAATTCTTGAAAACTTATTACAATTTATAAAAGATGTAAAAACGACAACTGTGGTTCACTTCTGTCTCTGTAAGAACGAGTAACTTTTTTAACAGCAGTACTAACTACAGCCGATCTTTCCTATGGCCCAGCCTCGAAACAAACCTAAGGATAAGGCAAGGATAAATCAACTAGATAACACAAAATTAACAGAAATGGTTTGTTTTAACTCTTGTGCAAAGCTACACGTGAGCTATCCATGCTAGCTGTCTAATTTAGCAGTGAAAGACTAGAGGGAGAAGCAGCCAGTCATCACCACCCACCACAAACCCTTGGGCTACTCTTTTACCAACAAATAGTGGGATTGACCATCACATTATAATGCCTCCATGGCTGAAAAGGGTGAGCATATTTGGTGGGATGGGTGTTCGAACCTGCAACTCTCATATTGTGAGTCAAGGGTCCTAACCACCTGACCATACATTGAAAGAAATAAAAACATTGTGTAAATACATTGCAGAAGAACTGGTTCTGATATTCCCCAAAGCTCTGCACCAGAAGTTATTAAAACATTTCACATATTCTTGCCTATATTCATTATCTGTATCAACTGGAGGTAACTTATAGTTGAACATTCCTGAAATCTACAGTTAAAGTAATTTTTAATAGAGTTCATCTACAAGAAATTTGTTAATTTACAAGTAAATGCCTTAAGAGTTTAATCAAAACTAGAATAGTCTCCACCTGGTCCAAAAATCAATAACCAGGAAATGTCTGAAAAATATATACTTGTTTCTAAAATATTCTGATTTCACTGATGACTTTTACCAATCATAATGAAAGTTGCCACTTTACTTATCATGTTTTGAATTGTGAACCAGTCGTCAGTTTTTTATATGCTTTTCTGTAAAAATCAAAATCTCGTAGGCATAAATGTGTTACTTCACACTCTTTTACATTTTCTATCGCTTTGATGCAACAGCAAGAAATTTTGTGAAAATTAAAGTCTTTGTAAAATCTACAAGTTTCATGCAGTATGTAGAAATAAGACAACAACGTATATACCAGAATCAGAGAATTACTCAGATGAGTAATCACGGAATGATTCAATTCAGTGTCAATTAGTAAGTTGGACAGTGACAGTTATTCAGTTAGTTAGTTTGAGTGTTTATTATCCATCAACTAGATTCTGCAAATATGTTAATTTATGAATTAGAAATACAAAAGTGTTATGGTGATTTTGTAAAAATATTGTTTGTGAAGTTAGGCCTAAGAGTGAAGGTAGCCTGAAGCAAATGTTACGACAGCGGAAGTCACGTGACCCTGGGAACACGTCATGATATTCTCGAAGGATCGTGACTTTTCCTGGCAATTCTAGTATTTTTCAGGCGCCCTCTATTTTAGTATATAAGCCCGGCAAATAATTGCAGATAAACAGATATAGAGACAGATAATTGAGTCAAGCGAGCAATAGGCACCGTAAGC